ATCATCATCATCACTCACGCACCCACCCACTCACTCACCCACCTACCCGCCCACTCATTCACCCATTCACACTTTCAGCATCATCATCACCATCGTCATCAGCATCATCATCAGCAGCATCATCATTATCATCCTCAACATCATCTTCACTCACTCACTCGTTCACTCACTCACTCACTCATCTCAGACGGGAGCTTCGTCTGTAAGTGAATTGCGGGGAAGTCTCAGGCGGGAGCCTCATCCCTCTGTGGCCCGCAGATCATGTGAGTAATCCGAGAGGGGCATCGGGATCTTGTACTTGTCGTCACCTTTGGCCTCTTCGAGCATGAGGATGGCGGAAGCCTCAGGTGGGCGCCTCGTCTGTGAGTGAATTGCGAGGAATTCTCAGGCGGGAGCCCCCTCACGATGGGGCCCGCAGCTCATGTTACTAATCCGAGCGGGTCATCGGAACCTTGTAATTGTCATCACGTCTGGGCCCCTGAGGCCTGAATATGGGGAAGTATCAGGCGGTAGCCTCGTCTGTGAGTGGATGGCGAGGAGGTCTCAGGCGGGAGCCACCTCACTATGGGGCCGGCAGCTCATGTCATCAATCCGAGCGGGTCATCGGAACCTTGTAATTGTCGTCATGTTTGGGCTCTTGCGGCTTGAAGATGGAGGAAGTATCAGGCGGGAGCCTCTTCTGTGAGAGAATTGCGAGGCGGTCTCAGTCGGGAGCCTCCTCCTTATGGGGTCCGCAGGTCATGATATTAATCCGAGCGGGCCATCGGAACTTTGTAATTGTCGTCACGCTTGGGCTCGCGGGGCTTGCCTATGGAGGAAGTATCAGGCGGGAGCCTCGTCTGTGAGTGAACTGCGAGGAAACCTCAGGCGGGAGCCTCATCCCTCTGTGGCCCGCAGATCATGTGAGTAATCCGAGCGGGTCATCGGAACCCTGTACTTGTCGTCATTTTTGGGCCCCTGAGGCCTTAATATTTGGGGAGTGTGAGGCGGGAGCCTCTTCTGTGAGCAATTGCGGGGAAGTCTCAGGCGGGAGCCCCCTCCCTATTTGGCCCGCAGATCATGTTACTAATCCGAGCGGGTTATCGGAACCCTATAACCGTCGTCACGCTTGGGCTCTTGCGGCCTGAATACTTGGGAAGTATGAGGCGGAGCCTCTTCTGTGAGTGAATGAGGTTGTCGTCGGCAAAATGTGTCACTGTCATGGGCCCGCGTGGAGGAACAGGAGGAAGAGGAGAATGAGGAGGCGGAAGAGCAAGAGGATAAGAAATGCAACGAGTAGGACGAGCATGAACAGGAGGACGAGAAGTATGAGGAGGAGGAGGAGGAGGACGCAGAGGACGGAAGGAGGGCCTCCGCCAGTCGAAGAAGAAAAGGGCGAGGGACAAGCTAAAGATATCATCATGTCGAGTCCTACCGTCGGAATAATTCAGTTGTTCTAAGTTTGTTAGTTTTGCTGCTCGTTCCTTGATTTCCTGTGCATCCATCACAAAGAAGAACAAGGGAACATGTTTGCAAGGCCACCACAATAGGACATCCTTTTGCACGGCCGCCACAAAAAGAAAATCCGGTTGCAAGACCGCTACTGCAAAATCCAGTTGTATTGCCGCCATGTCTGAGACCAAGCACATTGTAAACACACAACGTTTTCAGCAGCTTGGGCCCCAAAACGCAGAGGTTTACAATGTTCTTTTACGTCCGAAACCAAACGCATTGTAAGCCACAGCGTTCTGGAGCTCCGATTGCTGAAAACGGTATGTTTTACAGCTTGCTGGAGATCCGATTGCTGAACATGTTGTGTGTGACTTGTTTCTTCCTGCATCCAGCACTTAAGAGATCATGAGTGTATGAGTCGTCGCAGGCTTCTGATACTTTGCATATTTGATATTGTGTTTGTTTGGTGTTGTCAGGTCTTCGCTTGCATTCATCACAACAGAAAACAGTTTTATAAGGCTACCGCACCACTTGTTTGTCTTGTAAGGCAGCGACAAAAGAAAGTCCTGTTGCAAGGCCGGCAAATAAGGAAACCCTTTTCATAAGGCCGCAACAGAGGACATCTTTTTGTGAGGCCGCCACCAAGAGAATTCATGTGCGAGGCCGCCACGAAAGGAAATCCGGTTGTAAGCCCGCCGCAGAAGGTTGATTTTGAGTCCGCCCGGAAAAATAATCCGTTTGTAAGATCATAACAAAGAAAGTCGTGTTGCAATATTGGCGCAAATCTAATCCTTTTGCAAGGTCGCCACGAAAGGAAATCCCTGTGCACGGCCTCCACAAACATAATATTGTTGCAAGGCCGTCGCACAAGGAAATCCCAATGCAAGGCAACCCCAAAGGGAATTATTGCATTAGGCCGCCACAAAGAGGATCCGTGCGTAAGGCCGCCACAACAGAAAGTTATGCGTTACGGCCGCCGGAAAAAAAACATCTTTTTGTAAGGTTGGCGCAAAGAGAGCAATTTTGTGTTAGGCCGTTTCCTCAGCAGATGTTTAGTACATGCCGTTGCAAAGGGCATTCGAATGTAAACCAGTCATGCAAGAAATCCTTCTGGGAGGCAGCCACACAAGGAAATCCTTGTGTCAGACCGCCACAGAGAGAATCCTTTTCTAACGCCGCCACAACAGGACATCATTTGCAAGGCCGCCACGCAGAGAATGTGTTGCAAAGCCGCCGCAGCAAAACGACATCTTTGCAAGGCAACAGCAATTTTTTGCCAGGCCGCCACAGGGAATCATTTTGTAAGGCCAGTCACAAAGATAATCTTTGCCACGCAGAGAAACCGTGTGTAAGACGACCACGCAAAGAAAACTTTCTGCACGGCCGCTGCACAGCAAACCCCTGTGTAGGCCGCCACAAACAAAGAATGCGTTGCAAGGCTGCAGCAACAGGACGCCTTTTCGTGAGGCCACCACATGTTTATGCGAGGCCGCCACAGAGGGCGATATGTTGCGAGGCCGTCGCAAGCGGAAATCTGTTGTAAGGCCGCCGCGATGGACATTGTTTCGCATTTCTTGTTCACATAACCCGTTTGATATGTCTGTGCTTTTTTGGGTCGTGTTCTGGCGCGCCCTGCGTTTGTTCTTTCATATGTGCCTCCTCTCCCTCTGCGTCCTCGTCCTCACCTTCTTCCTCCTCCTCCTTCTGTTCATGCTCCTCGTGATCTCCTCCCACGCAATGTTCTCCCTCTTTTCTTGTTTCGATCGCCGTCCTCTCCTGTATCTTCTTTATCCTCCTCCCCGATTCCGCCTCCTTCGCATGTTGATCATCATCGCCATCATCACCAGCCTCGTCCTCCTCACCCGAGGAAAAGAGATACGGATGATGTTTCTGAGGGCGAGTGCTGAGAATAATGAGGGCGATGACGAGAATGCAGGAGTGAATGGGTTGTACTCGTCCCCACCAGCCCCCTCGTCCCAAACATGTCCGTCGTCGTCGTTGTCCTCCTCATCCTGGTCTTCCTCCCCCTCTTCCTCCTCTTCCTCCGCATCTTCGGATGAGGAGGAGGCACGTGTAGCAATTGAACGATCATTCCTGCCTTTAGCCATCGCCATCCTCCATCACCCCCTGCCACATGCGCGCCTCCTTTCTCTCCGATGCATCGGGTGCACGAGGAGGATGAGGGTCGACGGGAGGAATGGGTAAAAGGAGGATGGCGACGAGGATAACAAGAACATCTACGCACATACATGTGTTATAGATACACATGTCTGTGTGAAAGATATAGATGTATGTGTGTGTGTGCACGGAGTCCTCGCCTTCTCACTTTCCATCCCCCGATCCCTCCTCTACCCTCCCCCATCATCCCCCAACCAGGTGAATGTCCGAAGATGGGAAAGAAAAAACGGTTACGGAGACGGGGGAAGGGGAACAGGGGAAACGAGGACAGAGGAGGTAATATGAGGGCGAGGAAGCCGTAGGAAAGGAGGGAGGAGAATAATGACAATGGGGGGACGGATGGGAACGACTCTCTCCCCGGGTTCCCGTCGTTGTACCTCTCATCATCTGCTCAGTGATGATGAGGCATGTGGAGATGGAAAGGGGGAGAATAGTCCTCTTCATCGATCGCACGTCACCTAAGATTTGTCCTCCGGCACATCCTCCGTGTCATCGGCGGCCTCCTCTCTCTGATTCTTCCCTTCTCACCCCTTTCCCCATCATCATCATCATCATCATCATCATCATCATCACCATCATCATCATTATCATCATCATCATCATCATCATCATCATCATCATCATCACCATCATCACCATCACCATCACCATCACCATCACCATCATCATCATCATCAGCATCATCATCACCACCATCATCGCCATCATCGTCACCCACCTTCCCCCTCCTACTCGTGTTCACCCCTGCTATTACCGCAAGCGTGGCATTCACTTCCCCGAAGAGGAAGACAAATGTCGATGACGGGGAAGGAGAAAAATGAAAATGCTTCGGATCCGTCATCTTGCACATTCAGTACTTGATCAAAGTCACCATGCTCCTGCTTCCTCCCTCCCCATCCCCATCCTCATTATCATCGCCGTCTTCACCATCATCCTCGTCATCCTCCCCCTTTCCCGTCCTCGTGCTCGCCCGTCTTTTCCCGAGGCGTCCCACGGCGAGAATTAATGGTGTTGATAACGGTATGTGGGAAGTACAAGTATTGATGAGGGTTTCGCGTGGAAGGAGTCTTCCGCCCTTCATCATCTTACATACACATTCGCATTAGCGGCAGGATGTTACAATAACGAGGATGCGGTGCATGAGGAAGAGGCATTGCTTGCGCGTTGACAACTTGTCGGCGTCGATCTGACTTAGTAACCTGTTGCATCGCAGCAGTGCGTTCTACATCATACGATCAAAAGAAAAAACACACAGGTATCGAAATGAATTACAACATCGCTGGTTCCAGGGCATGTAGATGAGGCCCCCCCTTTCTCCCCCTCCCCCTCTCCCCCTCCCACTCTTCTGCTGTTCCTCCTCCCCCTCCCCCTCTTCAGGCTCGCCAGAGTGAGCATTACACAGCAGGCCGCCACCCCGCCACCCCGCTCCTGCGGCCGCCGCCGACGATGACAGTCGTCAGGGCAGGCTCCACGGAGCTGGCGGGGACGGCGGCCACGCCCGCGGCGTCCGAGGCACTCGGCGCGCTGCGGCTCTCGAAGAAGCCCCCGCTGCTCCCGGGGAGCAGTTGGCGACCGCCGAGGCGCTCCAGCACCACGGCGACCACCGAGGCGCCGTCGGAGCCCGAGTGCGACCAGTCCAAGCCCGACGGAGACGGCGACGTTGGGCTCGACGAGCCCGAGGGCGGCGACGCCCAGGCAGAGGCAAAGCCGGCGAAGGCCCGCAGAAGGCAGTCTCGCACCGCCCTTGCGCCCGGCCAGGGCCGCCCTGGGCCCTGGCATGGTGCATACGCTTGGGCCTCCCAGATGAGCGACTTTCCAAGGTTACCCCTGCATCCTTCCTCTTCGGCCGATCCTTGGCCGCTTTCGCTGGCCGCGCCCCGATCGCGGAGTGTAGACATGGCCTTCCAAGGCACTTGCCTCGTTATCGTGCGTCCTTAAAAAAAGGGTTGACTGTAGATGGGGTCGGAGGACCCCGCATCGTTGATGCATCGTCGATGCGGTTCGATGTGGAGCCCAATCTTCTCCACGCCGACGTCGCCGATGCATCTGTGATGCGGCACGAGCCTCCGACCCTATCTTCTCGGACTCCATTTGGGAGGCTTCAAGTGCGCCCTCTGGGCCGGGGCTAGGAGGTTCTGTAACGCCATCCTGGGGCCCAGGATGGCATTGGCTAGGAACGGCGGTTGTGCACGGATGCCTTGTGCGCAGAAGGGGCCCAGCTTTGCGATCACCCATAACCGGCTCATCTTCCACGCGCAGATGCTCTCGGCCGCGGGCTCCGCCGCCATCAGCGGACACTGTGAGGGCCACCTGGCGAGCTTGCGCTGCCGGGCTCCAAAGACCCATCGCTCGCGCGGGTAATACGTTCTCCGCGGCAATGGTCCAGGCCTTTCAAAATTAGGATATGTAGAGTAGACGGGGTCGAAGGATCGAAACGCATTGCCGATGCATCGGCGATGCGGCTCGATGCGGAGCCTGATTTTTCCACTCCGATGTGACCAATACATCGCCGACTTCGCCGATGCATCGCTGATGCATCTGCGTGATCCTCCGACCCCATCTACTCTGACCCCATTCGGGAGGCTTCTCAAGTAAGCCGGGCCGAGCCACGCTGTACTTTGGGCAGTTTGGATCGGGGTTTGGATCGAAGGCGCTTGCGACGAGTCACCGCCGCCCCCTGCCTTTTGAAAGCGCCTGCGTGGTGAGATGTCGAGCGAGAGTGCGGCCACGCTGGTGGACTGCATGTCTCCCCAGCCGTTGGGAAAACGATTGGTGGAACACGAGGAGGTTGCCCTCCGGGGCCGTCTTGTGTCTTTGTGGGGGCCTCTGCGTCCTTCTTGGGAGCATCTTTGGGCTCTCTCAGGCCATCCTGGGGCTCTCAGTTCCAGGTTTTCGCTCGGTCGCCACCCGTGAGGGCCTCATGGGCGCCTCGTGCTCGGGCTGGCTGGCGGGTTTTCGCCCATGGGCGGCTCCGTGGGCGCCTCGTGCGCTGGCTGGGTGGGCCTGGTTTTCGCCTGGTCGCCGCCCGTGGGAGCCTCGTCGGCCCCCCATGCGCTGGCTGGCGTTTCTGGACTGGCACGTAGAGCACACCCCATAGATTCGGTGGAGGTAATCAATTCATGGACACTCCCCCTCTCCCCAGCAGTAAGGATTAGCACGCGCGGGGAAGCTTGCTGTGGAAGAGCAACTCACTCACGTGTCAGATGAATGTGGCATGAGTGCTCGATGATGTCTTCCGAGGTTTGTTGCAAACATAGGTTCTCCTTTCTAAAAAGAGAATAGACTCTACCCCCCCCCCCCGGACTTTTCGCTTCCCCTGGGATAGTATATATATATATGTATATATATATATACATGTATATATATATACATATACATATATACATTCTGCACACTCGTCCATCCTAAATGTGAAATCATAGCATCCCAGGCAGGCCAGGTTCCCCCCCCCTGAGGTTCCCTCGCAACAAAAAAACACTATGCGGTGACATTGTTTGTTCTAACATAACACTTTTTCACGAATCCCTTGCAACAAATGAGACGAAATGCACACGCGCGCGTCGTCGCGCGCGCATGCCGAAATCCTTCAAAAACCTTCGGTGCCGGAAGGAGTTCTTAATCGAGTTTCCAAAAACATACAAAATCACATGGTTTCGCAACACGGAGTTGCTAAACAAGCTTCCGCGCGAGCTCTTGCGAAATCTTAAGAAAACCATATGTTGTCAAGATTTTCATAAAATGCTACCAAAAGGGCTTCGCGCGCGCGCATGTCGAAATCTGTCGAACGCCCTTGCGCGTGTGCAGTCGCGAGAATCCTCTGCCAAAAATGAGACGAAGTGCAGACGCGCGCGTCGTCGCGGGCGTATGCCGAAAACCTTCAAAACCAATCGATTTCGGAAGGATTTCAAAATCGTGCGTCCAAAAAACGTACGAAAACCCAAGGTTTCGCAACACGGATTTTCAACAAAAGCGTGCGCGCGCGCTCTTGCGTCGTCGTCGTCGTCGTCGTCGCCGTCCTCCCTCCTCCCGCGTCGTCGTCGTCGTCGCCTACGTCGTCCTCTGTCTTTCCTCGTGTTCGTCGTCGTCGTCCTCTTTGGCGTCGTGGTCGTTTCCGTCGTCGTTGTCGCCGTGGTCGTCCTTCCTCCTCCTCCCTCGTCGTCGTCGTCGTCCGTCGTCGGCGTCTCGTCGTCGTCCCTCCTATTTCGTCGCCGTCGTCGTCGTCGTCGTCGTCGTCGTCGTCGTTCCCTCCTCCCTCGTCGTTGTCGTCGTCGGCGTCGCCGTCCTTCCTCCTTCGTCGTCGTTCGCGTCGTCGCCGTCCTCCCTCCTCCCTCGTCGTTGTCGTCGTTGTCGTCGTTGTCGCCGTCGTCGTCATTCCTCCTCCCTCGTCGTCGCGTTCGTTGGCGTCGTCGTCGTCGTCTTCGTCGTCGTCGGCGTCGGCGTCGTTGTCGTCGTCGAAGTCGTCGGAGACGTCGTCGGTGTCGTCCTAGTCGTTGTCGTCGGTGTCGTCGTAGTCGGTCTTAACAGGTTTTGCAAACCAAGTTGCGGGTGGGTGGGTGGGATGTTGGCGCGAGCAGTGGAGATGACGACTTCAAGTTCAGCAGAGTGGATTTTCCTTTCTAAAAGGAGAATAGACTACCCTCCCCCCCGGACTTATCCGTTCCCCTTTCGGGTATGTAAATCATATATGATTATGACCACTCGTCCACTTAAATATGAAATCATACCATCCCAGCTAGGCCGGGCTCCCCCCCCTGAGGTTCCCTGGTAAAAAACACTATGCGGTGACAGTGTTTGTTCTAACATAACACTTTTTCGCGAATCCCTTACAACAGATGAGACGAAACGCACACGCGCGCGTCGTCGCGCGCGCTTGCCGAAATCCTTCAAAAACCTTCGGTGCCGGAAGGATTTCTTAATCGAGTTTCAAAAAACATACAAAAGCACCTGGTTTCGCAACACAGAGTTGCTAAACAAGCTTCCGCCAAAGCTCTTGCGAAATCTTAAGAAAACCATAGTTGTCTTAAGATTTTCACAAAAATGCTGCCAAACGGCGTCGCGCGCGCTCATGTCGAAATTTGTCGAACGCCCTTGCGCGTGTGCCGTCGCGAGAATCCCCAGCAAAAAATGGGACGATGTGCAGACGCGCGCGTCGTCGCGCGCGTACGCCGAAAACCTTCAAAACCCATCGGTTTCGGCAGGATTTCAAAATCGTGTGCCCAAAAAACATACAAAAATATAACGTTTCGCAACACGGATTTTCAACAAAAGCGTGCGCGCGCGCTCTTGCGTCGTCGTCGTCGTCGTCGTCGCCTACGTCGTCCTCTATCTTTTCTCGTGTTCGTCGTCGTCGTCCTCTTTGGCGTCGTGGTCGTTTCCGTCGTCGTTGTCGCCGTGGTCGTCCTTCCTCCTCCTCCCACGTCGTCGTCGTCGTCCGTCGTCGGCGTCTCGTCGTCGGTTCTATTTCGTCACCGTCGTCGTCGTCGTTGTCGTCGTCGTCTTCCCTCCTCCCTCGTCGTTGTCGTCGTCGGCGTCGCCGTCCTTCCTCCTTCGTCGTCGTTCGCGTCGTCGCCGTCCTCCCTCCTCCCTCGTCGTTGTCGTCGTTGTCGCCGTCGTCGTCCTTCCTCCTCCCTCGTCGTCGCGTTCGTTGGCGTCGTCGTCGTTGTCTTCGTCGTCGTCGGCGTCGGCGTCGTTGTCGTCGTCGAAGTCGTCGGAGGCGTCGTCGGTGTCGTCGTCGTCGTTGTCGTCGGTGTCGTCGTAGTCGGTCTTAATAGGTTTTGCAAACCAAGTTGCGGGTGGGAGGGTGAGAAGTTTGCGCGAGCAGTGGGGAGGACAGTTTCAAGCTGAGCAAGTGATTGGTTGAACCCCATATATTGCACCACGCAGATTGCACGCCATAGCTTGCAAAACATTGCGCAGTTGCACCACAGAGCTTGCATCACACAGAGCGCAATACGTAGAGGGCACCACTGACATACAGCATCTTACACCGAGTGCACAACAGAGCTTGCACCACAACTATTGCAACACATGCTTTGAACCACAGCGCATTCACAACATGGATCCACCTGTCAAAAGACAGCTCGATTTCACCATCCTCCCCTCCGGGGTTATCAGGACACCCTGGCGCATTATTTGTTCATGTTATCGCGCACGGCCGCCCATCCTAAATACATAGTCGCATCAGCCCAGCCAGCCTGTTATTGACCCCCCTTTTCTCCTTGTCAGAGAACACCATGTGCGCGAACTTGAACAGGTTGAAAGATCATGTTGCAATAACCGATGCAGACCCCAAAAAAATCAAATGCCCGCCCATGTCGCTCTCATATCAGCACATTCGGCGGGCAAACAGTCAAACATGAAAACACCAACAGCCAATTGTGGTTCTCTCATTCAAGGTCTTGCAGATGTTCTGCCCGCGCGCACTTCCTGCACTCATAGGAAACCCGACGGTTTTAGCAGTGCATCTGTGTTGGTGCACGAATGCGCTTCAACTAATACCATGCGGGCCACACGCGCGCGCCGCCACGCGCCCGCGTCGAAACCGTTCCAGTGCCAATGTGGCGTTCGATTCCGATTTCAGCATCAGGTCTGCCAGGTGGATTGGATTTCTGCGCGCGTGCACTTCCTCATCAGTATTATCATCAGCGCCATCGCACCACCGCCGTGATCGTCAACGTCGATATCCGCCATTGCCGCCATCATCAGTCAATCACCGTCATCACCGACATGTGGAACTCGTCATCGCCATCGCGGCAACCAGCATCGCCGTCATCGTCATCATCGCCACCACCATCGCTACCATCACCGTTGCCGCCGTTGTCGACGTCATCCTGTTATCGCGCCTGCCCCAGCTAACAACCCGCATTGAAGCGCCCGCGCGCCAGCGCGGCCTTCGACACGTTTTGATAAGACCCCATCGGTAAGCGCCATGGTGGGCGCATCAGTTGTGCCAAACCAGCTGGCCGCTCTGCGCGCGAGGGTGCGTGCGCCAGCGCAGCCGCAGCGGTGCGCCAGCGAGTGCCAAGTGCCAAGCATTCATTGCAATTGCAGCCACATGGTCTTTGCCAAAGAAGTTGCTTCTGGGAGCAGTAAAATCGACAACTCGTTATTGATTAGGTGATTTGCACCACGTAGAGCGCACATCATAATGCAAGAGATCGCTGCTCGAGGCCCACGCTGGCAAGTATCCAACAATGAGCACGCAAGGGCGCCTGATGCCCGTGGGCACCCCAGAGAGTGCCAACGGCACGGCGGATTCATTCTTCACATCCGTTCTTGAGCGACGGTGGGCACGTTGTTCTTGTGCTCTGGTGTCGTGGGCACAGAAGCCACGCACGTGATGCTGCCGAGTGATGGGATGGATGTGGGGCTGGGGGGGCAAGGAAGGTATGGGGCTCAGGGCAGCCAGCTGCGTCGTGCCAATTTGCAGCTGGCTACGGTCTTGGACAACAATTCCGCTGGCCGTCAAGAGTCCGACCTCCGATTGTTTAACTAGTTATCTGTCTCTCTCTCTCTCTGTCTGTGTGTCTCTCCCTCTCTCTCGTTGTGTTTCCCGACGTCAAACATCCGTATTAACAAACTACCGTGCAGCTCCCACCTGTTCCTGCTGACGGCCACGAGGTACAGTGCTCTATCGCTGTTCTTTCGGACGCCTATCTATTTTGAATAACGCCGTATGCAGAGCGTTCGCCTTTGTCAGGGTGGATCCCACGACGAGGCGTGTGCTTTCGGGCGTCGCCGCCCCAAGCTGTTCTTAGCCCAGCGCCATGTAGCCACATGCTTTGTGAGAGTACCTGGCGAGCGTGTCTTGCCGTGCTACAGAGCAGCATCGATTCGCATTGTGGTCATAAGCCCTGCGGCGATGAACATTATGGTCGAGTGCAGGTCGCATCTTGCAGCGTACACGTCGCTTCTTGTACCGGCCACCGTGCCCGAGGTTTTATAACATTTGTGAGCTCGTCTGTCTCGTTGTGAGAAGATCACGTCACATTCTGGTAGCTGCCGAGTTACAGGATGAAAGGCCAACGGCAGCAAGGCGAACGGCGCCAACAACTATCATTAGACTTGCGATGTTGTCATTCTGCGGACCTCCTGGTCGTCAGGAAGACTGTGCTTTCTTCTGGCGCATCCCCGCCCTCGTCCTCTTTCTAAGGTCAACATCAAACATACCCGTCAACACCAAGCCGCCTCCGCTGACGGCCACAAGGTCCAGCTCTAGTATATTGTCCTGGGACTGTTTGCCCGCCCCATTCTTTCCAGCCGCAAGCGACTGCTTGCGTCCAGGGGCTCCGACACCGCTCCGCTTTCGTCCCCTTTCGTGGACGCTTCTGCTGGCACCGTCCAAGTCACCTTACCGCGCATCTCGCAGACGCTGCAGCAAGCCCCGGTGAACCCCGCGGCCGGGTGCGCGTTCGGCTGTCGACGGCGGCACCATTCTTGGGCGATCGGCCCAGCGTTGCTGCACGGTGTCTCTGGCCGCGCGCCCCGATGAAGCTGTGTCCTCCTGCTCCGCTCCCCCGTTCTCCCCCCATCTTCCGCTTCACTGTTACCCCCCTTTGCGAGATCAGTCGTGTTCGATACGTAACCCTCCAAAAAAGCAGAGTGTTTGAGCGTCGCCCGCGTGCGGGCCTGCCCTTGCGTGGTAACGCGCAGCGCGGCCGGAAAGGCCAACACCCTTTTCCGTTGTCTCTCGTGGCTTCCCTGTTTCCGGTCGGGAGCGTTTGCTTCGCGTGTCGCTCCGCCGGTTTTGGCATCCACGCTTCGGCGCGACAAGCTGACCACGTCCACACTCCCAAGCGTCAATTTCCCGAGCTCTTCCCAGCCTCCTGCCCCGCGGAGCGGGGCGACACGCTGACCTTGCGGGGCATGGCGTGTCGCCGGGGCCGCCGCTGCGACACGCCAAGCAAAAGTTCTTGACCGTATTATGCGGAGTACACTGGCTCATCTCAGCCACGCACAGGGGTAGGAGGAGGCGGGAAGGCTCCTTGGAAGCACCCCTGCTTCTTAGAAGGCGCGGATCTCACCTATAGAAGTAAGGCCCGCGCCTTCCAAGAGACAGCATCCGTCTAAGAAGCCCCCCTCTCCCTACAGCTAACACGCTGAAATAGTGACCGCTTTGGGTTCGGAATGGGCTCGCTGTTCCTTCAGCTCTTCCACGGCTCTTCCTCCATCACTCCTCATGCACCCAGGCGCTCCTGGGGCCAAAGGGGCCTCACTCCTTCTTCTGCTTTCCTTCTGGTGTCACTTCGACTGCACCCACCTTCTGCGCACCGCCTCTCATCGGGCCCCACCTTCCCAGCCTTTTCTGCCCCCCTCCTCTCCCTGGCGGGCCTCTCCTGCTCGAAGTCCCGCCGCTCGTGGTGAGCCCCTGCCTCGGACCTGGCAGGGCCCCCAGCGGAAGAGGGCGAGGGCTGGAAGACGTCCCTCGGCCCACGGCTCCGGCTTTCTTGGGCGTCTCGGACGACAGGGGGGCATACTGCGGCATACAGCAGATCCGCATAGCAAGGATGAGCATTTTTCCAAGGCTGCCCTTGCATCCTTGCCCCCTCGGCCCATCATTTGCGACTTCAGCTGGCCAACCTCGGTCGAAAAACGTTCACATGGCCTTCCAAGGCCTTGGCATCCTTACCGCGCATCCTTATTATGCGGGTTGACTGTAGGGAAAGGAGGGGGCTCAGGAATCTGCTGCATGCAGCTGGTTTCGGCCCTGTTGCCAGGCGCCTTCCTCGATCACACCGGCGCCTCCAGCGCCAGAAGGCGCTGGGGAAATCAGCTGCATGAGCTGATTCACTGCCCCCCCCCTACTAGCCCCCTGCCCCCGAACTACGGTCTGCCATGCACGGGAGGAACTCGTACCGTCCCCACAACCATAATCAATACCATCATCATCGTCACGATCAGGGCCAGCATCATCGGCATCACCATGCTCAGCAACAGCATCATCATACCACCATCGTCACCACCACTGCCTCTCATCACCTGTCGTTCGCATATTTTGCTCGCTTCGTGTAAAACACAGATCCAACACAGGAGTTTGGGGGGGGAATCAATCACTGCTATTCAATGATATGGTGCCGCGTGCTGAGTGGAACACGTCCACCGTGCTGTCGACCGAAAGTATGCTATCATCTTCCCCGACCCCCTCCTGCTGCTCCTCCTCCTTCTCAACACCCCCCTGGTTCTCATGCCCCTGTTCGACGCTAGCGCCAGGGTCACAGTAGCCATTTTGGCACAAGACTAAACGTTGTGAAGGGCTATAGACGCCCGAGAACCAGCGATTAGTTCTGGCTCTTCCTTAGCCAAGGCTCTCAGTTTGAATCGTTCTCGTTCCAGCGAGTTCCTGGCGGAAAGCAGTTGTTGCTGTCGCCCTCGCTTTCGTTTCATGTCCTGGCGCTGGCGTGCACCCTGGCGCAAGTCGTTTCGTGGTTGCAAGACAGCAGGAGGGTCCTATTTTGTCTGCAGTCAATGTGGGCATTGGAAACATGACAATCGCGGCCACACCAGGTGCTCCAAGTGCGGAGGTGAGTACAAAGGACGTGGCCGATCTCGTGAAGCTCTTGAGGCACCCCAACGTGGTCGTGATCGCGATGCAGGGGATATCCCGCCTGGGCTGCAGGCTGGACTGGACCCGCTGGTGCTACGCTATCCTGACTGTGCAGGTGCCCTTCGTGCCACGAAATCGACGGCCTTCCCTGAGGCCCATGATTTTCCACCGCCTGCCACTGAGAGTGAGCTTGACAAGCGCGTTGCCCAGAAGCGCACTGCTCTGGCACAAGCGGTGGAGGGATTCGAAGGCGGAGCCGATCGCACTACATGAATTGGAGATCCAACTGGCGGCAGCGTCTCGTCATCGAGAGTCGCCTGCTGCCGCTGAGCTCGCCCATGTTTCCGCAGTGGAACAAGTCGAGCAGGCGGCTGCCGCCCATCGCGCATCATGCGAAGAGGTGGGTCCTTTCGACCCGATTGCTTTCCGTGAGAACATCATCATGGAGGAACGAGTCGAGCGTGCGCGGCGTGATCAGGAGCGAGCTCAATGGGAACGGCCCCTCAAGCTGCTGGTCGCGGCGTTGCGCCCGCGGCGGCCCCGCGCCCTGAGGCGCCCATGGAGGTGAACGATGAGGCTCGTGCCCCGCCAGATCGGTTGCCTGAGCAGCCTGCGCCAGGCGAGGTCGGAGCGCCTGGGCCAGCGCCGCCGGCGCCGCCAAACCCCGCCTACATGCCCGCGCAAGAGCTGCGTGAGTGGTGCAGCGGAAACGGTCAGAGGTTTGATTTCTGGGCCCAGATCAAGCAGCTCCGCTTGCACCTACACGATGAAAGTAATCATGCTGCTGCGTCTGATTTCCGCGCTGGCCAGCGCGAAGAGCTGGAGGGCCTTCAGAAGCGGAGCCTGGGCCACGGGCCCACCGCAGATGAATTGGCTAAGATGGGGACCTCACTCAGATGGCAGCACAGATCAAGTCAGCCAAGTGGTTGCGAACCCTGCGAGGAAATTCACGGCATTCCCTCGAGCGGGCCCTCGCCCAGATGCAACCAGCAGGAGGCGCCCCACCTGCGGGCGCGCGAGGAGGCGCTGCTCACGCCCTTATTCCTGCAGGAGAGCAGCCCCAACCTGCCGAGCCTGCGTCTGGGGAAGTTGATAGGTGGCAGCAGCTTTAGCAGTCGCAAGCCCCGCAAGAAGGACAGACAGCGCAGATTTCAATTTCTGCAACATCACCTCCTGGAAGCCAGCAGCCTTTGATTGCTTGCAGATTCTGCACCCTATGTGCGATGGTTCTTTGCGGCTGCGCATCGCCTGAGACGCTGCGAGGCGCCCGGGGCCGGGCGAGACGCTGCGCGGCTGGATGCTTTCCACCCCCCCCCCCCGGAGGGGGCGCGCGCGGAGGCGCAGGTGGGCTGGTATCCAAAGGGCAGTGTCTGAGGTTTTTTTTTTTGTCGTCGCAATCTGGGCCCCGAGACTTCGGCATTGGCCCGACTTGGATTTTCTTAGAGCTCCGCGCCAAGTCCTCTGTCTCGGCTGCAGGGCTTGCCCACCTCGTTCCTGGCCTGGGACTCACGGGGGTTAACATCGAGCGGACGCGGTCGGTTGCGTCCGCGGGTGCTCTGCGGAGATTTCAGTGGCCTGCCTCCGACGCGGGCCCCTCAGGCCCCCCCCGAGCGGCCCAGGGGCGCGCGGTCGTGCCCGGCGATGTTGATCTTACTTGTGCTCAAGGCAGCGGGTCTCTGACATATTATGTTATAGTATCCTCTTAGTTGGGCGACATCATCTCGACCCCCTCCTACAAACCCAGCCCGTCCCAGGCCCGCGCCTGCCTGATGATCAGGCTCGAGCAGGAGACCCTCCATGGCGGATGTGGAAGAGATTGTGCCCTGCCGCGCTTCCTGCCTGTCGTTGACCTGACTTGCCATGGGCGCAACGCATGCTATGCCTGAAGGTAGTCCTTCAGTTTCTAGATGCAGCTCTTCGTCCGCGCGCCCAGGAGAACCCGAGTGGCAACCTGACCACCATGTTCTGGCTTTGGTCGAGAGCAACCGATGCCTCGTTGGAGTCCCGAGAGGTTGCGCGCACCAGACTTGAGTGCTCGGCGCACTATGGTGATGTTCCTGAGCTGTCAAGAGCTGTCGATCGCGAACGTCGCCATGCTTGGTCAAATTTCCGACAGAAATCCCGTCGAGGCATGACATCTAGGCTCTTGGGAGCCTTGCCCCAAGGGCCAAAAAAGGTGTATTCTCTGTTAAAATATGATATTGGGGGTGCCCCCAGCATCTGGTTTCGGCGTCTGGAGTTCGTCGGCTACCCGGGGATATGATGGAGCAGGTGCCGACCTAGTTGCTTGTCCAATGTTTGGAGTTCCCCTTATGCCCAGGCGCAGCTCACTGGTGTCCTAGACGCGCTCAGACCTGTGGCTGTGGAGCATGCCCGAGGGTTGCTTTTTCAGCTAGCACCGCTTTGGGTACTGACTATTGAGCCCCGAGGTCGCTGATTGACCTCCCGCGCGCCGCCGCTCTGGGGTTCACTCGCGTCCTCAATCAGTGCGAAGCTGAGATGATGTGGCCCTCCCCGGTGTGTTTGAACGCTGTGGCCTTGCTCCCGAAAAAAAACACGGACTGTGACCGTCCGATTCGAAAATGGCCCACGGCTTGCCGAGTTCATTGCAAAGCGAGCAAATATGATCTCGACGTTTAGGCCCAGCGTAGATACAATGTTTGGGGCATGGCCGTTTGAGGCCCCAGTGCCCTGCAGGAGGCCTTGCTTGGAGAGTTGGGACACGAGGTCGCGCGCGCGCTTGGCCTCTGCTCGGGCGGTGCGCACTGGGGCCTCACTCGCTTTTTTCGATTCGGTTGCAGCACATGAGCTGATTGCGCTGGCGGTCAATATGGGATATTCACGCCACCTCATATCTGGGCATCTTGGTTCATAGCTCTCCTCGTGCTTTCGAAGTCGGAGGTCTTGCTTCAGATATTATCCCTGGCGGAAGCGGGGCCCTGGTTGGGCGCATGCAGAGCATGTATTCGGCCCAGGTATATGCGTGCGATATCCTGGATAATGCCCATGCTCTTTACGCACCAGTCAGGGCGAAGGCATACGTGGATGACAGCGCGCAGTCTGTGCAAGGATCAGAGCATGCAGGTTTAGCCGAGCCGGTGCCTGCGTCCGTCCACGTCGCGCACCAGCTGCATGGCATGGACTGCGCGCTTTCTTCCAAGTCAGCATTGGCGCGCAGCGACATCTCCTCGGGCCGTCGCCTCCCTGAACTTTTTCGCGCCGCAGGCTCTCGATCAAGTTGCAGAGCGCAGCTCGAGATCTGGGGGCTATGACTTCTGCGGGCAAAAGGAAGAGTCACTGCCAAGCTGGCGCAGAGACGCAGCCAGGCCTTCAGGAAGGCGAACAACAAGTCTTTTCGATTAAAGTCTCCGGCGCCGCTCGGGAGCTGCACAAGCCCGGGGCCCTCGCGGCCGGGCCGTGGAGCCATCGAGCGCTGGGCCTCGCGGGCGGCCAGATCCAGTCCAGGAGGGCCCAGGCGGCCGCGCGTTCTGGGCGCAGGGGCCCTGGGGCGTGCGCCACCGCGGTTCTGGATTTGCTCAGCCCCGCCAAACATGGCCCCCAGTTTAGGCTTCGGTATGAGCAGATGTCTGCCTTCGACGATGTGCGGGGAGACCTACGTCATCATGAAAGGATGCAGGTGGCCCAGCGTTGTCAGTTGCCAGTTCGCACCCTTCGCCCCCCCCCCCCCCCCCGCGCACCCCGCGCACGTAGACAGTTAAAAGTACGCAGGGCCTATGGCGGCCACCATTGTCCCACTCGACGCGGGCGTGGACCGTGAGACCCCCGTGCGTTGGATTTCCTTTAACGGCGTGGAGACGAGGCCCCGCGACCTTGACTTTCAGCGCGTGCTCTGGGTGAACCTGCAGAGGATCTGCAGCGCTCTGCCCTGGAGCACGGCCTCCAAACATTACGAAGGGGAAGGTTTGGAGGGAGGAGTTGATGTTACCGTTCCCCGTCGGTTTTGAAGGACCTTGAAAAAGACGGTGCCTTTGAGGCCGCTGGCATGCCTTGGAATATTCAGACGGCTGTTATTTGGACTGATGATAGGCTTCAGCAGGCTGGGCGCGACTCCGCGACAGGTGGCCGGTGCCCTAGATGCGGCTAGAGCCCGAGACTGCTGCCCATCGTTTTTGGGAATACCAGCGATGTCGTGATCGAGCGACCGGAATCGTTGGTCGTTGAAGCTATGCACCCCACCGATCCACCCGCTTTTTGGCACCGTGGCCTGCCGTCTCTCCAGAGTGTTGTTGGACACCTGCCTGAGCCTGTTGAGTGGGTTTGGGAATGGGGGCGATTGCAGGATGGAGCGAAGAGTCGTGGGGAAACTTGGGGGATCGATGGCTCTGGAGGTAGATGCATGCAAGATTGGAGGCTTCGCCGATGTGGATGGTGAATCGGGCACCAAGGTGCGGACCACCAGTTTGACGGCACGTTGCCAACTAAGGTGCAGACCACTGGCATGGCCGACCTTTCTATTTTGATCCAGTTGTCGCGCTCGTTCGGCCCAGTCCTCGTGTTTTGCGACTGTCTTGATGTGGTCAAAAGTGTACGGAAGCCTATCCGATGCTAACGTAAATCGTCTATGTTGGACCCGTGATGGGTCGATTCAAGTTCGATTGGCTAAAGGTCACCCCACCCAATCCCAGGTCGATGGTCTGTGTCTCATTGGGTCTGAATGGCATCTTAACCAAAGTGCTGATTCCTTTGCCAAGAAAGCGGCCGAACGTGGACACGTGCCAGAAGAATTGGCTCTTCGCACGGCGATGGCCGACGAACGGGCTCTCAAGGTTTTGTGCCGTTTCCTCGCTTTTCAGAGGGAAATGTTGCTTGCTGGTGAAAGGGAACTCGCCACCCGTGCGAGTCCTAAGCCACGCTCGTCGGTCCGCTCTGTAAATGCCCGACTGGACAGACTCAGCGACATGGGTCGCTGCTGCGCGGTCAAGTCGTGCACGCTCAAGTGTAAACACTTTTGCAAGCATTTTAGCCGACGTGGTCGGCTGGCGGATTGTTGGCCTGGGCATTGTAAGCCCAGGGCCGAAATTGCCCAGAGATCAGGCCCTCCCCCCGCGGCCTGCGGTCGCCCTTCGGCTGCGGAGAGAGGCGGAGGAGCTTGGCCCCGATGATCTGGGACCTCCTGAGGTTGGTGTGGGTGGGGGGCGCCCATCATCCTCTGGCGGAGCAGTGCCATCATTCTCGCCAGCTTGCCTCCATCCGAGGGGTGCTGTTTTGTGAAGTTTGTGGGAGGCACTGCGCTGATGTTCCGCTGAACTTTCATTTTGAGTGTGCCCCCCCCCCCTCCCCCCCCCCGAAAACTGGGAAGGGTGTCCTGAGTAGATTGAAACGAGGTCTGCCGCCAAGACCGGGTGGTACTTTCCTTTCGCCTCCCCCCAGGGCTGGCCGCCCTGCCAGCCCTGGGGGAGTAGAACCAACTAGGAGATGATCAGTGGCAGCGTGGCAGATAGACAGGTCGGAGGGAGGACGGAGGAGAGAACATCAAACAGCCATCACATCTCATAAAATCGTAGCGAAGAGGCGGGATAGGTAGCTGGAGCAAAGCTAGTGGCGGCATCAGGTTGAGACGGGGGTGAAGGCCCTAAGGCTTGTGTAGGGTCCTCCCTCCTTCGGGTCGCGTGGCCCTGTTGGGCCACCGCCTGGAGGGTGCCCAGGGTCCCCGTCTGTTGAGGTGCCCTCTGTTCATTGTGGGCAGCGGTTGCAGTAGCCCTGGTAGCTAAACTGCTGGCCGTGGCGTCCCTGGCCAGTGCCGAGACGGCCTGCAACCTTGGTATTCCTCCGCCACCCCGCCTCCTTGTTGGGATGGTGGCGGCTCGCGGCTGCGGAGCGGCGGAAAGGTGCAAACGAAAGGGCGTGAGGGAGGAAACATACAGCTAGTGGCAGGTTGCCAGTGCAAAAAAACTGGCAGGCAGTGTGGAGGTGGCGGTGGAGTGAGTTCGGCGGCGCCCAAAGAGAAGTGCAGTTTCGGAGACTATTCCGCGGGGCCCCTTTGAGGTGCCGCTTGCAGCAAGGGGGGGGGGGGGGCAAGGGTATCTCCCTCTGCTCATAGGAAGCTCCCGCAGGCGTCCCCCAGGCCGACGGCGGGATCCTGCGCCTGCAAGGCGTGGGGTTCCCAGCACGTCGACCTCGGGGCCGCCTTTGGGAGGTTCCACCGAGCGTGAGGGGGTGGGGTCGGGCCCTCCCCGAGTGGCAGCGTGCCGGCGGGGCCAGCCACCCTCGCCCCGTGGAAGGGCAGAAGGGCCTCTCCCCCCTTGCGCATTGGAAATTTCCCGAAACGTCCCCCAACCCCACGACTGGTAGTTACCCTCCCCTGCCAGGCAGGAGTAGGGTACCCAGATCGTGGAGGTGGAAGCCGCTTGCGGGATTTCCGTGGCGGTGGCACGACCTAGGTGGTGGTTGTGGCAGGCGACCGTTGTTCGCGGCAGTTGCTGAGATTGTGGTATGGGTGTAGGACCGAATTGTGTGACGTGTCCTGTCTGCTGTTGAGCAGAATTGGACAAAACTATGTATGCCTCGGGAGGAGGTGGGCGCACTGACGGGCCGCTGTAAGACTGGTCCCATCGAGAGGCATCAGCCTCTTGGTAATGGGCAGTCAGAGGGGGAGTCACCTGGTTAGCCGTGGCTTGGTCGGGCTGCTGTTCCTTGAGGTGCTGCTTGGATTCAACCTCCCTCGGTGGCCGGGGAGCGGAGCCGCCGTCTGCTTCGCTCTCTTTGTCTGTACCCTCGTCATGGGCTATCGTGCCGGTCGGTTGTTGGTCTGATTAGCATCGCGTCGGGATTTCGCTGCTGGTAGTTGCTTGAGGATGTAAAGGGGCCCGAGTCGGTCTCGCCCGTGAGGGTTTCTGCCAGCTTGGTTTGGTTGCCACAGTCGGTCATGGCCCACTGTGCCGTTGCCGGTGGGTCGGTGCTCTGAAGCATGCTGACCTCGGCTGCTAAGTTGGTCAACGTTTGTTGGTTGCGAGGGCGTTGCTGCAGCGCCGCGAGATCTGCCAAGGGTGCCCACTTGCTGTGGCGTGGGAGCTCCTGGGTCTGGTTGTGTGCGTCCCTCCTCCTCGCACCCCCCATGTGATTCAAACCCGTGGAAACCCCCAGAGAGATGAGCCAGGCCAGCAGCAGGAGTGGCAGGAGAGGCAAACATCCAATCTGTTGCCCAGCCCCTCCGTTCCATTCAGCCTGTCGCCGCTGCTGGGAGGGTAGTCCAGGAAATTCTGAGGATTCAGACGGCTCCGACTGAACGAATAGTTGGTTTCCAGTCGGGTCGTGCGTGGCGGGACAGAGGTGCCTTCCCATAGCATTCCCATGATATCCCCATTCGTCCTAAGCCTCCTCCTCCTCCTCCTCCTCCTCCTCCTCCTCCTCTTCATCCTCCTCCTCATCCTTGCCCTCCTCTTCCTTCTCTTCCTCCACCTCCTCAGTAGTCCCTTCCAATTCGGGTGGCAAGATTTGCGGAGGGTGAAGAGACGGTGATGCTGTAGCGATCCCTCTCCTCCTCCTCCTCCTCCTCCTCCTCCTCCTCCTCCTTTTGCTTCTCATCCTTTTCATCCTCCTCCTCCTCTTCAGTTTTCTCCTCTTCCGTTTCCTCCTCTTTTGTGTTCATCTTCTCTTTTCTCCTCCTCCTCCTCATCATCATCATCATCCTCCTCCTCCCCGTCTTCTTCCTCCTTTTCCTGCTGTTCCTCCTCCTTCTCCTGCTCCTGCTCCTCCTCCTCCCCTCCTCCCAGAGTGTGCAGAGGAGGAGAGGAGGAGAATGAGGAAGAGATGATGATCTTGCCGCGTTCGGGCTTCGGCTCAAGAGCGCAGCAGCTCCGCCGCGGCTGCGCAAGCTGCCGCCCCGGCCGGGACGGAAGCCATGCAGCCTTGAGCGTGCAGTTGCAGGCCCTGCACGGGAAGCGGTCGCCTTTGTTCGGGGGCGTGGACAAGGGGGAGGAGGGGAGGGCAGAGGGGGAAGGGGCGGGAGGTACATCGCCGTCGAAGGGGGGAGGGGAGGAGGTGCTCGTTGGTTCCCAGAAGTGGTCTCGCTTCGGGATGCTTTCCAGCAGCTGCGCCTCGTCGAAAGCTTTGCTGGGGTGCCCGAATCGTCCCAAGCGGCTTGCGGTGACCCGAATGATGACCCGAAACCTACTAGGCGTCGAGCATGGGGTGAGGATGAGATGGCGGATGGGCTGGTAGACCCAAAATAAGCGTGTGAGATTCGCCCCCGAACCGCTGTGGGAAAGGGAGAATTGAGGAACACCACTATGTGGTTAGGCTGAAGCGGATCCAGTCGAGTCGAATATACGGCTGCACGAACGCTTTGGAGACGCAGGCAGAACGGCAAGCTAGAATGTAAGAGCAGGTTCAAGTTGGCGTGATCTAGTCCAGCTGCAGTGTATCCAGTCGAGTCCGTCTATGTCCTGTTAACAGGTCGAGGCTGATCCAGTCGAATCGACCGACTGCGGGCTACATGCGAATTGCAAAAGTCCATAGTTTTCGGCCCGTGGGCCCCAAGCGCCTGTTCCGTGATCTGTAAATGGGGGGGGGCGGCAAGTTCTTGTATAGGAGTAGTTTAACTGCACACGCGACAATGCTATCACGCACGAAGGCGACGCCCACGTTGGCAATGGTTCGGGGATGCGATCCAATATATATATATATATATATATATATATATATATAACCGCAGATGGAATGTATTGCATCTGGCGTGGATACAATCGAAGTCATGTCCTACTAAGGGGTGGGAAGGAGGAGGAGGAGGGAGGAAGGAATGGAGGAAGGGAGGCGCGACGAGGAAAAGGAGGGAGAGAGAGAGAGAGAGAGAGAGAGCGGGCCCAGGTGCCGAGATGAAGCTCAGCGCGGACACGAAGCATCTTCTGGAGAGGCGCCTCAAGCAGGCCCTGCAGCCCGGGCAGATCGTGCCAGCCTGAGTTGTTTGGTAGGGGCGGGGGCTGCGGCAGGAGGTCGTCCTCGTCGCCGAGGGGGGCGAGGACGGAGGAGGAGGCGGCGGAGGAGGAGGAAGAGGAGGAGGAGGAGGGAAGGAGGAGGAGGAGGAGGAGGAGGAGGAGGAGGAGGAGGAGGAGGAGGAGGAGAGAGGCAAGCCAGATGCGCGCGCGCCATATCTGACATCCTATCCGTCCTGCCCATCGCCTCCCATTGCGCTAATTTGTCTCTGTCCCCCGACTGGTACCCCAGCGGACCTGGATCCCCGAAGTGACCCCATCGTGCGATGCGCAATCAAAGGGCGGAGCTGTGCACACCTGGGGAAGAGGAGGAGGAGGAGGAGGAGGAGGAGGAAGCGGCGGATGGGCAGAAGGATGAACAGGAGGAAGAGGAGGTGGAATTTGGAGGAGCAGCAGGAGCAGTAGCAGCAGCAGCAGCAGCGGTAGAAGGAGCAGGCGCAGGAGCGGGAGGAACGGAAAGAGCAGGAATCCAGTGGAAGGCGGATGGGGGAAAGGAGGGGGGCGACAACGACGAGGAATTGATCGAACCCCGGAATGTGTCCAGCGCTGCATCAGGAACACTGGTTTGAAAACGGTCGAACGCGCCCTAAACAACAACAGCCATGCTAATGTTAGCGAGCGAGAACCCAAAGCCGTGATCTCTTGCATTGCACGCAGTGTAAATTAAGTGGTGCAATTAGTTAAAAGCTTGGAGTTGTCAAATCTACTGCTCGCGCAAGCATCCCACCCACCCGCCCGTAACTTGGTTTGCAAAGTCCATGTGGCGGCGAGTGCGATGAGTGCTTGGTGTTGGCTGGAGCATATCTGCGGCCGCGCTAGCCCGCGCATGCTCGCGCGCACAGCGGCCTGCTAGTTTGGCGCGACCGGCGCGGCCACGGTGGCGCTGACCGCTGGGCACTTCCATCTGGCACTTCAGTGCGAGTCGGTGACGTGGACGGGCGCGGTATCATGGCGACGTCGGCAACGGTAGGCACGATGATGGTAGTAACGATGTTGGTGACAATGGTGGCGATGACGACGGCAAGGCCAATGACGGCGCCGATGCTGATCACGCTGGTGACGATGCCACCGCGTCGGCGATGATGGTAGCGGAAGGAGAGATTTCGACATGCGCGCGCGGCCGACGCGCGCGAGCGGACCGCATAGCATGAGTTGGCAGGGTTCGTGCCATCCCCCCCCCGGTCGAATGTTGGAAGACCGACGGATTGATTCCAAGAGTTCGCAACAGCGTGCGCGTACCTTTTTTGTGAAATTGATGACTTGATGATGCAATACAATTTGCTCTTGCATGCGTCGGGTCGTTCGGCTCGGCGCTGGAACCCGCGCGACCCCCAAAGTGTTTCAAGGATTCCGGCACGCGCGCGACCACGCGCGCGCGTGCACTTCGCCGCAGCGGTTTGCAAGGGGGTCTCGCGGAAGCACGCGCCCGAGGGCGCCCGAATGATTTCGACGCGCGCTCGCGTGAGGCACGTTTGGCAGCATTTTACGATAATACTGACTAACCGACGGTTCGCTCATGGACTCGCAAGAGCGCGAGCGCATGTTTGTTTGAAAGTTCATGGTTCGAAGCAAGTTGTTCTATATGTGTCGGGACACTCGGTTCCGAAATGCGCGCAGAACCCATGGTGTTCGAAGGATTGCGGTGTGCGCGCGCGCGACGACGCGCGCGTGCGCACTTAGCCCCACGCGTGCAAGGGATGTTTGAAAACGACAGATTCTTGATAAACGAGTGCGCGCGCATGGTCTCTTCTGCAGAGGATGAGGGAAGAGCGATAAGGGGCTGCCCACGGTGGTCTGAGCTCACAGTTAGGATGGGCGACGGGGCAGGATCGCATGTAAACTGCAGCACGAAAAGGCGGACCGCCAATTCCACGGGGTCTGAATATCGATTTAGAAAGGAGAACCAAACTGGCGCAACCCACGTGGTGCAATTGATTCTCAAAAGCGAGTTGACAAACCCCACGCTTTGCGAACGTCCCACCCGCCCACCCGCAACTTGGTTTGCAAATCCTGAGTGGCGGCGATTGCGACGAGTGTTTCGCGTTGGCGGGTGCATCTCTGCGGCTGCGCTAGCGCGCATGCTCGCGCGCGCGCGGCGGCCAGCTAGTTTGGCGCGACGACGCGGCCGCGTCGGCGCTGCCCGCTGGGCGTTTCCCAGCGGGCACTTCAGTGCGAGTCGGCGGCTCGGGCGGGCGCGGCCCCATGGTGTCGCCGACAACGGTTGACGCGTTGATGGAAGTAGCGGTGATGATGGCGATGGTGGCGACGACGGCGGCGAGGCCCATCGCGGTGCCGACGTTGATCACGCCCGCCGATAGTGCTGACGATGCCCTCGCGTCGGCGATGAGCGTTTCTGCGGGAGTTCGACATGCGCGCGCGGCCGGCGCGCGCGAGTGGCCCGCGCTGCATTCCTTGGCGCGGATCGCGCCCCCCCCCGCCCCCCGCCCACCCCCGCCCCCGCCCCGCCCCGCCCCCCGCCGCCCCAGACCCCCCCCCCCCCCCCCCCCCAAACCTTCACCTGCCCACCCAGACCCAGCACGCGCGTCGGACACTCCTGGATCCTGCGACGCAAGCTGTGGATTCTGGAAGCTTCGGGCGAGGCGGAGTCGCCCTTCTTGCTGGCGCGACGAATGAATCTGGAGGCCGTCGGCGATGACGCGCCGCTCTCGGCGGCAGACCGCGCGAAGGACACCCCTTGAACTGTTGTAGTAGCGGTGCTCATAGGTGGCGGCGATGGCCCTGCCCATCCGTCGTCGATCGAAACAGCGTAGACAGGTGCGCGGATTTTGACGCACCTATGTCTTTGTTGAACCTTTTGTGATGCAAGCTTGAGAAATAATTCCCGACGAGATGTTAAGCCCGTCTGTTTCGCCACTGGTTTTTGAGACGATTCCGTTTGAAAATGAAGCATGTCATAATCGGGATTTGTGATCCATGTTTCAGTTCGCATTGTAAGTGCATAGTTCGTGGAAGACACCGCGAATTTCCTAAAGACAACATCAGAGTTGTTTTTCCATTCCTCCTCCCCGCCCCCCCCCCCCCCCCTCCTCGCGCTAGACCTCCCCAGCTGCGGCTGGACAGAATGCCAAGGGGTGCAGCGCCGTGGACCTGATCCGCGGTTCCGAAGTTAGACAGTCCCAGGGGTATCATCATTACGATTGGGACCTTACCAGTTGAACGCGGCGTGTTTTTCATCATCGGAATTGCAAGTTTAACTTGAAGCCACGCGCCATTCATAGACTTCGCCCTGATTTGGGAAGATTCAGGAGACTGAGTTTAAAGACCGCTGCTGTTCCCGTAAGTGACGTGATTTCTTGCGCAAATGTAATTATTGCAACGATAGTAATAATAATAGCACTCATATTGTAATTATACATAAAAATATAAAAAGCACGCCAAATATACATATACATTCATGCCGACGCGCAGCGGCCGTAATCTGAGTCTTCCTCCGCCGATGCCCGATGAAGCTCCGGTGGAGTCCGCCCGCGCGAGAAGTGGGGCCCCCAAGGCAGAGGGCGCCGCCAGTCTGGGCGCTTTTACGAGTACCTCAGTCTCCTCTGCCACGGACTCCCGGGGTGGCAGCGCCAGCAATCTAACTTCCTCTGGCCCAGAGGGGGGGCTTCCATTGCTCTGGCCGCCGACGGTGCAGATTCGATTGGCTGCGTCGACGGATGCGCGGTGCCAGCCGCTCACGCGGTTCCGCTCGCAGCCGCGGGAAGAGGAGTTGGCCCCGAGCCCCAAGATTGACCTCCTGGCGCCAGCGGGGAACAGGACAACCAGGTCTACTAAGTCCGGCATTCCCTTCGATGGGTCTGGAGGGTTGAGAGCTCAGCGTGCCGTGGAATTTTCGAAGGGGGGCAGCGAGCGCCCACTGCGTCGCATGCGTCGTGCACAGATTCAGCGTTGCCCAAGCAAACCTCAGCGGAGACCAAGTCGTCCTGGGGCAAATCGGGGCGGCAGGTCGGATGGCGCTACGTAAATTCTAGCAGCGACATTTCACTCCCAGCGCCGGAGAAATTCGACGAGAACGGGCGGAGGAAAATTCAAGAAAGGCGGCGCTTCCGAAACCCAGGCCGTCGCCAAGTCAATCAGCGCTCGTCTCGCGCAACGCGGCGGCGACCCCCGGAGGGGGTCGAGGGGGGGGAAGCGGCGGAGCCACAAGGGGGGCAGAAGGTCTCACGCGTCGAGCCAAAAGAGAGACCGCGGAGAAGAGAGGCGGAAGGCCCCTCGGGGTCGCCGCGCCGCACCTACCCTATAAATTCCACATCGGACTGGCGGGGCCTCCGCCCGGATCTGCAGCGGGATCTCTGAGGAAACGCCGACAAAGTTCGGATTCTAGTCCGAACAGTTCGCTTGCGCCCGCGGCATCTTCGGGGACAGGAAGCAAATCGCAAAACTTCAAGCATGAATCCGAGACGGCGGCGCAGACCCCACTTTCCACCGCGGCCCGCGCGAAGGTGGGGCCCCCCAGAAAGGCAGCGGTCGCTGCGGGCGGCCTCATGGCGGAAAAATCCCCGAAGGATCAGGCCCCCCCCGGCGCGGTTCCGAGAGCGCCGCGGGCCGGGCGCCATGTTTTTGAGGCGTTCCCCCATGGAGCTGGACGAGGTGCCCGCAGGAAACATCAACGCAAAAAAGGCGCCTTCCGCAAAGGTGGAGCGAGAACGCGCAGAGCGCCGCGCCACGCTTGCTAAGCTTCAGACGAAGGGGCTTACAAGTGGCTGTAGAGAAGGCCCGCTGTCATTTGAATCGCCGCGGACCCCAGGCTTTGCGAAGATCCCCCCCGAGAGGTCGACGCGGAGATATTGGGGGACATCGACGCCAAAAAAGCTTTCTTCCCGCGAAACTACTGCAAGAAGACGCAGAGCGCCGCGACGCTGCGCAGAAAGCTCAGCGCTTCGCGCACGCCGCGGAAGCAGAGCCGGAGAGTTTAGAAGCATCGCCAAAGGATCAGG